CACACACACACACACACACACACACACACACACACACACACACACACACACACACACACACACACACACTTGTAATGAAACCCGCAGATTCTCAGTGGACTGTACAGTAGGCCGAGGATGAAGCGTGGGCCTCGCCTCGTTCGGGTCCTAGTTTAGGTCAGATTCGTAATTTTGTTTGGCTGAGGGCTAACCGAGAGACCTACCTGTAAGGGATATTCATGAGGGACATATCTGCAAATTTGGGAAAAATACAGGCCCAGCAATAATTCGATATTCCTACAGCTGACCCTAACTGCGTATAGCAGACCCGGGCTACCCCTCGGACGGACAGGCCCTGAGGGCCTATACCGATAGACGGTCCTATAGCCTATAGCCGGGTAGGGAGAGGCCGAGAGGCCGAAACAGCAACGGTACCGTTCGGTCCAGTCAGTCTGGTCTAGGTCTAGGATAACAGAAGTAGAGGTCTATTAATAGTCGAGGGAAAATGGATTGGGGACTTTTGGCAGTTCATTTCTCGCGAAACAGCGTTGGAGAAGCCAAGCAAGTTATTGGCGGTGACTGTCTGCAGGCGGCATCCTGAGACCGCACCGTTGACAACACCCATAGCCGGCCCAGTCTGAGTCTGCCGTAGCTGGGGCATCCTCAGCGCATCTACCCTTGGGGTAGCTGCGTCTAGCCGGGCTACATCAAGGCACTACACTGTGTACTCGTGGGTGTTGGCAGCCATAGCTGCATGTTCCTTCGTCAAAGTTGTCCATCGGCACTGAAGACTTCATCGCAGGACCCGTTCTTCATCAGGGTGGTTGGCGCTGGCCTCTAGGAGGCTGTTCTGATGTGGCGCTACTAACTGGGTGTAGGATAGAGAATGGGGTGTGAGTTCTGAGAGTGGCGAGATACTGGAACAAACTCTGCTACGATAATTGTTTGAGTGGCTCATCATCAGTGTGAATTCCAATTGTGATCTTCGCAGGTTCTTTCTTGTGATTGGTTGTTGGGAGTTGTGTCAAAGAGTGAGAAACACTGTGTGTCTTCTCCCTATTTGTGCATGATTGTCTTCCGCTGCTTATTTTCACCTGTGTGCAGTTTGGACTCGGGTCTCCTCTCTCCCCTTCTCTTATGCATGTATGGGCATGTGTGAGATTGTCTGTGTGTGAGTGGCGATAAAATTCGTCAGACAACCAAGTTCATAACAGTTGGTATCGGAGCGGGATTGGAATTGGGACACTGAGGGTTGAGCGCACTGAGGCATCTTCTTCATCTGGCAACATACTGGCGAGAGTTTCATGGCGATTCATCTTCCCCAGTACTGAGTCAGCAGGGAAGAAGACTTTCAGCGCTGGATCCAGGTGTTCAGTGGTAGTACTGAGCAAGCGCACTGAGCCTGTCAGGGCGTTTGTCAGGAAGTGGGAGTACAGGGCTATTTCGCCACAACCAACCCTGGGAGTAGCATTGCGAAGTACCCCAGAGTGGCGAATTAACCCTGAGGACATCAGGGAACCCTGAGCGGCATCATCCCTGGGTAGCGCTGGCAGAGGTTGATCCACCATATCAATCTCCAAAAGTAATAACCCCATCTGGGGCTATTTTTAGCATCAACGGCTACCAGGCACTATGGCGAGATATTTTCGTGTTGGCATACTGGGCGCCACAGGACCAGATACAATGCATCCGGGTTGAGGGATTGCAGCACTACAGGATCCTGAGGAGGATCAACAAGTTTGGAGCAGTTTTGTGCGTGGAACTATCAGGAGGAATATCTAGAAGGAATTGGCGAGATAAGGGTTATCATCTGCCATAGCCAGATCTTCATCATCACCTGCAAGATTCTTTGAAAGTGGAGTCCGTTCCATGCACCTACCGGTATTGCGATCCAGATAGTATTAGTTTAGTTAATTATCATGGTCTAGCTGTCTGTCAGTGACTGGATGTGAAAATCGCAGACTGCATGACAACCATAGTCATCTCTCCCCTACCTCTCTCTGCTCATTTCTCACCCTCTGTTGACTCTTTCTGATCCAAAATTGTTTTCTGACTGCTCTACTGCATTGCGATTATTCTGGGATGCTCAAATTGTGAATTCTGTACTGGGAAGGTAGTGATACAGTGAATTTCAGTTTTGCGTTGAGTCTATTTATAGCCTGTGCTATCTAGGGGCAGTCATAACTTCAATTCTGTCTGTTAGAATTCAAATTTGTCAGTCCCCAGTGAATCGCAATTTGAAAATAGGCAATACTGTAGAATCGCAGAGTTGGATTTGCAGTATTTCACTGGATACAGTGAAAACTGTACTTCGCCATACCCTAGGGTATGGCCGCCAGAGTCATCAGGGTCTAAATTTGAGTCTGAGTCAGGATACAGGGTGTCTATCTGAATCGCTTGGTTTGGTTGACCTCTCTTGTCCGTACTAACCATGTTCTATCATTCCCACTGACTACCCTTGCTTTCTAGTGGGTACTGGAAATCTAGTGGGTCTCTGAAAAAGTAATGGAGTGATTTTATTAACTCCAGTGTGGTCCAGGGTCAGTAAAAGGAAATCGTGTGACTGATTTTGCTGGACTGACAGTCTGTATGACACCTGACTCGAGAGACACCCTTCCAACCCAAACCGTTGATTGCCTATACACCCACCTATTCCAGTGTTGAGAGTTTGCAGCGATTCGAGGGTATCTGAAGGGAACTGATTATCGCTGCACACTCAAGTTGCTGTCTATTTTTGGTTTTATTTTGAAAAAGGGAAATGTCTGATAAGGGGACGCAGCAGCAGCCACAGGTGGAAGTGGTGATGAAGGTGGAAGGGGAACAACCTTCAGCCTCCACTCCTCCACCTCTAACTGCTACTCAGCAGATGAAGGAGTTGGAAGAGCAACTGCGGCAGCAGCAGGCCAGGCTTGCAGCATTGGAACAGCAGGAGGCGGCTGAGCTAGAAGCTGCAGCAGATAATTCCAGAAGAGAATATCTGTTGCAGCAGCTAGACAAGGCGCTCACAGATGATCGCTGTGTGCAGATCACCAAATACATGGCAGAGATGATCCTGCTGGAACACAAGATCACCAGTTCACAATTTATGAACTGGGATGACCACTTTGTGCGATTGGAGCGTCGGGTTGACGACCTGTCAGCTCAGCGGTCTAAGATCCTGGATGCTATCCAACGCTTGACTGCTCAGCTGGCAGCCGCCAAGATGATTGCCACTCAACTCCCTCTGCTGAAACCCAAACCTTCTCCTCCTCCTTCGCCCCCTTCTACTCCCCCTGGTTCAGCACATTCACCCCGGTCACCATCCCATTCCCAAAAGGCCTCAGCAAAGGCCACCTATGCTGCTGTGACTGCAGGAGACTACAGAGGTCCAAAGATCCCTGCTCCCAACAAGTTTAGGGGCGATGACCCCAAGACCGATATTGGGGACTGGGCTGCTGGGACCAATGCCTACTCGAGGGGCTTTGTCTGTGTAGAACAGACCAAGGTGGCAACTGTTCTGGGACTGCTGGAGGGACCTGCATTGAAGTGGGCCACCTCCACCTCCAGCAGTATGCAGCAGTCCATGGAGGACTGGGCTTTTGGGCTTGGGGTGGACAGACTTCTGCAGGCCCTGGAGGACCAATGTGCAGACAAGGAACGGGCCCGCAAGGCTGTTGACAGGATTGCTCACCTGGGACAGCAGCGGTACAGCGGCACCCTGCAAGCCATGTTTGCAGAATTCGAGCAGCTTACCTCCACCCCTGGGTTGGTCATGTCAACTGACGATCTGTTGACCAACTTCTACAGGGCCGCACCTGAGAAGTTTGTTGTTGCATTATACAGCGCTGGGCACAAGGACTCGAGGTCCTTTGGCCGCGCAGCCTGGACATGGAGGCAAAGCTTCATGTTCAGGCCCCATCCTCTGACAGGAGGAAAGATGCCTTCCCTAGAGGTGGCAGAAAGGGAAAGGCAGCCTTTACTCATGCGGGGTCTGCATCAGGATCAGATTCAGATTCCCAGGTTGATGCACCTTCAGTTGGGACTGGATCTGCTCCCGAGACAGATGTTGCAGCAGCCCTGACTCAGGCTGTTTTGGGGGTTCTGCAGCAGCAGAAGAAGTTTTCCCCCACCACAGCCTCAGCCAGTGCCAAGGGGAAGGAAAAGGGACGTCGGCCTTCCTCTTCCCAGCGCCCTAACCTTCCCAAAGATGTCCGCATGCCAGCTGGCCCTCTCAATCCCTCCACACTCCCCTGGCATGACCTCAAGATCCAGGAGGGAGTCTGGAGAAAAAGAAAGGAGAGAGGTGTCTGCCTGAGGTGTGAGGGACAGCAGTTCCTCAAGGACTGCCCTTACATGCCAGGCCCAGGGCACTCAAAAAACTGAAACAGACCCTGGGGACTGCAGTTCCCCCCAATGCTGCACCTTCATCTACACAGGTAGGTGAATCTGCAGATGTTTCAGTCGAGACAGATTCAGTTTGTTTGGGGACTGCGGGGGCAACATCCTTTTGCTATGAGGATCCTGACCCGGATCAAGGACTAGAGGAGCATGAGGCTCAGATGATTGCTCCCTTTCCTTCAGGTGAAGGGGGAAGAGGGAAACCAAATCTGAACTCACCCTACCCCATCCCTGATCCATGAGAGAGGTGGAAACCACAATTCCTTCCACCTGTGTTGATTCACATCCTGAATCTTCAATGTCTCTCGTTCGTGTGGAAGTTGTAGTTGTCAGTATTTGCAGGTGCAAATTTTGGCGACACTCAATGTTCTGATCAGGGTTAGCTGCTAGTTAGCAATCTTCCCCTTTTCCTGACATTATGTGGCGAGTGTTATTGTCCCAGGCTTTCAACATTCTGCCCGGGCTCCTTATCTGTTCGATAAGTTGAGCACCAACACATCTATTGTTGCCAGCCTGGATGATAATTAGTCATATTTCACGTGGTGAGATTGCTTGTTCTACTTGTAATCTCTTATTGCAGTCCTTCAGTTCTACTGACCGACTTGCATCCGGTTTATGTCTACTAAGGGGTACACACCTGGTCCGACGACTATAGCCAGCAATTTCGAGTTTCTCTTCTACTGGGATCACAGTTTACTGTGGAGGTCATGAGTATAGCAACTGTATTGTAGCAATAGGGTGTCGTTCGCGGATCTCAACTTTCAAGAAGTGGTCGATTGTGTAATAGTTAAAAACGAGGTTACCCGTGGTCTAAGTATCCATTCAACTCGCAACGGGTTTTGTACAACTCCGTTGTACCCGTTGTACACCCCCAGGGTCCGAGTTGAATCCCCGTTGAACGGTACAACGGGGGCTTCCCGTTAAAATCCGATCAACGGGTCGAGCCCAATGGGCCTCGGACACATGGCAGGATACACGTGGAAAAAAAAAAGTGAACAAAAACAGTAAAAAACCTGCCCTCTGTGTGTGTGTGTGTGTGTGTGTGTGTGTGCGTGTGTGTGTGTGTCTGTGTGTGTTCATGTGTGTGTGTGTGTGTGTGTGTGTGTGTGTGCGTGCGTCTGTGTGTGTGTGTGATCGGGTGGGGGTGGGGGGGGCGACCCATCCCCTACCAATCAATCAATCAATCAAAAGAGGAAAAAAAGGGAAAAACCCACTTTTCTCGTTTTTTTTACTTTTCCTTTTTTTTTTTTGATTGATTGATCGATTGATTGATTGGTGGGGGATGGGTCGCCCCCCAACCCCCCACCCAATCACACACACACACACACACACACACACACTCACTTGCGCCGAAGTTGCAAGGGGTCCCCGCCCGCGCAACTTCGGCGAGAGAAAGTGTGTGTGTGTGTGTGTGTGTGTGTGTGTGTGTGTGTGTGTGTGTGTGTGTGTAATGTTTGTATTGCGAGGCTCATGTGACAGTGTCACAACATGATGCATCTCAAAATGCATTATTATGAACAACACCCAAATAGCTTTTGCACTACAACCATGGGGTCACAACGAAATGATGATGGTGGAAAAACGACACAGGAACGATCAAAGGTAGAATATGTCCCATAGCCATAATGTGGAATGTTCAAGACATGGGTATACAATCAAACACCAAGGCATGGAAGCAAGTACATTCCAATCAGGATGATCAACTGATTCCCACCATGGTCATTAAGACGAGAGCCAATCCTCAAGAAGGGATAATCATTCCCTTTTCCACAAGAGGCAAAGAGATGTCACGATACCATTTAACTCTACAAATAGGGCAAACAACGAAACCTTCAAAAAAAGGATCGGACGCGGAAAGCTCAAGCCAAGCCTCAACATCCACCAATACCATAATACGTCAAACACCCGCATCGATCCGAACAGTGAGAGCACACAGCCAGCACCGTCGCCTCCTACCCTGCATCAAAACTAAATGGAGTACGCTGCCCTCATGGCTATGATATACTCAGACAAGACCCGCCACCTGAACAAGGTCAAGATAACGTCACAATTCTGATGCATACAGGACCCGATACAAAACACCGCAGAACCCATCATACCGCTATTCAATCCATTCATGGCATATGGGGCAGATAATCAACCACCATAAGGAAGAAATCCCCAGGCATCAACATCGATTAGAAAAATCCGATCGATCAACACCATCGGTGAACCTCTCATCATAACGCCTAGTACCGTCCCCAAGACCAGAGTAAGCTTGGAAAGCTCCCACCGAAAGACACGTCGCTAGCGCAGGATTCACACCAAGAACCGGGTCCTTCATAAAGCAATTCGAAAGCGTCGTTCACCAGCAAGTACCACACGACACTCCCAGCCATCCGACATCAAAGCAAAACGCCCCCCCGCCACACACCACCGAAAACGCGCCCACGACCAACCATCATTCCATGACGAGACCTCGTATCAAGCCCAATCTCTCACTATGCTGATCGTAGATTCCCACCGAAGCACATTCAGAGCATCACGCCACCTTGCCGAAACCATGGAACACAACGGCAACCGAGTCGTCACCCTCCAAACCCAATGCGCAACTTTGATCCCTCATCGAGGCAGCCACGATTGCCAGAGATGAAGTAGCTAACCCGCCTCCAAGCTTCTCCAAACGGACCTTCCAACGTGCCCTGTGAAGCAGCGAAACCCCACGACTTCCAAGCGAACCACAGTCCATCACTCACGACGGAGTCCGAAATTCAAGAAGGCAATTCCAAAGCGCCGTTCCCCAGCACGTGCCGCACGACACTCCCAACCATCCCGGCATCAACGTGAAACGCCCTCCCTGTCTCACACCACCGAAGACGCACCCACGACCAACCATCACTTCTTGACGAGACCTCGTATCAAGCCCAACCTCCCCCTATGCTGATCGTAGATTCTCACCAAAGCAAATTCAGTGTATCGCGCTACCCTGCCGAACAAACAACGGTAACCGAGTCCTCACCCTTCAAACCTAGTGCACAACTTTGATCATCCATCAAGGCAGCTACGATTCTCAGGGATGAAGTAGCTAACCCGCCTCCAGTTTTCTCCTCACGGACCCTCCATCCTACCCCGGGAAGCACCGAAACCCTACGACTTCCAGGCGAACCACAGTCCATCCCTCACGACGGAATTCGAAAATCACGAAGGCAGATCCACAAACCTACAAGCACCACTCCATGCGCAAAATGAATACACAAAGGCGAATCACAACCCCGACAATACCGAAGTAATCATATTCCCTCTCATGCGCAATAATGCCCGAACGGTCAAAACACTAACATTAATACGGACGGCAAAGCCTCATGCCAACTCAAATTGCAGCAATCCACCGCTCTAATCCGGCCTCAGGGAGGAATCCATGGGGGACCATGGCAATCATGCGGGAATATACAGACTGTAGGAGACGAGGCGTGCCAAAGGAGTACCAGCAGCACCAATACCAAAATCCCAACGCTATGAAGAGCCATCCAAGCTGCTAACCCGAATAAGCACAGTATACACGGGATGGGAGGACTCGCTGGACAGGCAAACAAGGAGGGAGAGCAAGCCAACCACGAGGCACGGCAAAGCGCACCGAGAGAGAAGAGGGACAGGATAATGGCGAAAAGGAGGGAAACCCAGAACGGGGTGGAGAGTAGACCAGGGGGGATGACGGGGATTGTCGTGATGTCCATTCGGACGGGAGATGATCAACCCCCACGGTATCGTCACTACGCCTTGAAACAACCGCTAGGCTTTACACCATCTCATGAAACACGGGGAGGAGGAGTTACGACAACCACCGCCTAGCTGGGCCGAACGAATGACCTGTAGATCTAGAAATGACAAGAAGGCCAAGTACGCCATGAACGCAATCAACAAGATGAGGGCGACGTGGGCAGCAGCTAACAGCTCCATTCTCCAGATACTTCTCAGCGATCAAAAGCTCCTAAAACTTCAACGGTGATGCGTACAATAAGGCCTACGAAGGAAGCCAAAACAACAACGCAAGGAACAAACCACAACCAATCACAGAAATAGAATATAAAAACCACATGGCGGGGAGGGGCAGGCAACGTTAGCGGGAGACCACAAAAAGCGGGGGGAGGGGGAAAAAAAGGGGGGGATAGCAATAGAACTAGAAATCCCAATCAGTCGAATGGCCCCATTGTGCCAACGCATGATAGGAGGGTGGTGGAACTCGTCCTGAAGTACTTTTCACCGACATCCACCTCGCCATATCCTCAGAGAACTAAGCCTCCTTCATAGCGTACTGAAAGGGACAGGAATCTCCATGGGCATGGCCCGGATTCCTCAGAGAGGGCTTTAGAGAGAGGTGGGGAAAGACATTGGCTAAGTCACACAGAGGGGGGCAGGGGGTGGGAGGTGGGACAATGGAGCACAATGAACGTTACCGCGCTAGGCACCATGATCCGCTGAGGTGCAGGGGAGCCAGGCAAACCTCCAGTAAGTAATGACAACGACTAATCTCCACGTCACGAATGCGAGGAGGACGGGGAGTAAGTTCACCAAGTGCCACCGCTACACGAGAAGATTGCGCACCACCCAGGCCACATACGCGATGAAGCATGCGCTACTCTCCAATAATCCGAACACTCCTCGTCCGTCCCAAGGTGATGGCCCGTCCGCGATACACGTACGCACCCTACACAGGTGACCCAACCATTTCCCCCTCAC